TGTATATATATATAATGTAAACATACAAGCATATTTCTTAAAATTGTTTCCGTTTCAACCTAAGCCACAAGTTGCCCCTATTTCTTAGCTCTTTTACTTTGGTTATCTTAAACCATGAGCAGGTCCTGAGTTTAAATGAGATAAATGCTCACAGATTCTCCCCATGTTGCAAATAGTAAGTCACTATTATTAAACTTGTTGTCAGGTTTATATAAATGCATGATCAAAAGAGTAAATTTAGGCTTATATTGTCATAGGTTTGATACTTAAAATCCTCACCTTAACAATTACAGTTTAAACTGTTTAACATTGGAGCAGCTTTTAATTATTCTCTGTGCAACATGTATGATGTCAAAACTGTGGCAAACTATACTTGACTTAACAAAACACCCTGCTTTCACTATTTAATGACAGCAAAAATAGAAATATAATTCAGCGCCACTTCTCACATGTAAACCGTGTTTTTAACACAGATTCAACTTTTAATCTCACTAAGCTTGCTAATACACCTTGATATTTTCTGACTAAGTTAATTAAAGTTTTGCATAATCAAAATGCAGATAAATTGGCAAGAAGCACCGTTTTTACTAGAAATGTCCAAATGAACAGGGTCAGTTGTTGTATAAAAGTATTTTTGTATATACAATAAACGAAAACTATTTTGTTGATACAATGTCCGAGCAAATTGATCTCCATTTAGAATCCCTTTATAAACACAATAAAAACTGCAAGCCTGTTTTGTTATTGGGGACTGCTTAGACAGGCAGCTACTTATTATTATCCACCTGAAGGAGGTCTTACTCTTCTTTCAACTTTAATGTGGCCCAAACTGTAATGTGTACCCCCACAAATGTTGTATCAAAACGACCGGCTCGGCACTGTGATGTGTGCTATTACTTTTATTGGTGTTTCGTGTTACCATGGCGACGTAATTTGCAAACCAAGACATCATTTTTCTCATTGAAACAAACTATAAATCAGCCATTTTTAGAGATATTAAGCTAAAACCGGGTGTAGTGGTAGCTGAGACCAATGCCCCATAAGTAATGAATTCAAATAAAAAAAATCAAGATGGCCACCAAAGCTAAATTTAAATGGCTTTAACTCGGCCATTTTTACACATAAAGAGTTGAACTGTGTTGTGGTTATAGCTGAGAATGTGCCCCATCACATACTGAATCCAAATCAAAAATCCAAGATGGCCACTATAAGTTATTGATCAAAAATTTTAAATGGCTGCCATGTGGCAGTCCCCTTCAAAGTTTATCCAGGAACTTTCTAGTTCTTTTATTTTTATTTGAATTACTTTCAGTGTAAAGGTAAATATGTATTAATCCAGGAGCATTTCATTATTCATTATCCGTATGTCAACAGCGTACACATGCTGTTCCAATAAATACGCCATTGTAACACCAAATAATGATTCAAGGACAGCTTAGTCAGCTTTCCGTACAATTTGATTAAACAGATTGCTCACAGTTAACATCTGTCTTCACCTTTGTGGAAGAACATGTCATCACAGACCATTTATTCTCTTAAAATTTCTTGTCTTTCTGCAAAAAGTTAGACGCCATTGTGCAATAAAACTCTTGTTTCGTTGCGATTGCTTTTGGTGTCCGCGCCCACAAAGAAGAACGCACCTGCACACGTGTCATACCTGTCTGTCAGCCATGAAATCCACGTTTAATGTTGTTCTCTTCTTCTTGTCTAAACGTGACACTTGTTAAAATTGCCATCTAAATAAGTGACTTTGTGGCTCCTTGATGACGAGAAGAAAAGGATGGAGGTGAACCTGAAGTGGTGCAAATGCAAAGGAGGAAAAAGGAAAAGGTTAGCTTTAGTTTGACATCTTTATGAAGTTTTTCCAGACAGTTTATTTCTAGAGAGGCCTTACTAGACGTAGAAATGTTTAAGATTACAATAATGGTAAGAAAAAAGACATAATCATTAAATCTATTTCTATACATATGTGTTCCAGTAACAGACAAAGCTTAACGATTAAGAACAATTGACACAGTCTTTTGATTTTTGTGCTCAGGATTCAATTTTAATATTTTGTTTATAATTTTGTGTATTGTTCATGTCTTGTAGTTTACTTAAAGTGATTTTAACTTGAGATTTTGAGGATTATTCATACATTGACTGTGCTTGGCATTCTTTGAAAGTTGGATTTATTTTATTTTTTTTGTATTTTGTAATAAAACAA